CAGTAATATTAGCAAAATGAAGAACAATCAGAAACGTCAAGCAGTTGTTATTAAAAGCTGCTGTGAGACGAAATAACGCTTACAGCGATTCCTTTTGAAAAATTATCTTATTATTTAACAAATACTTAATACAATTCACACACACAATTTGTATGTATATTTTACTGTATATATTTTTTGTACGTATTTTCCAAATAAAATTTTGAATATTACAATTATAAATATATATTATATATCTAACAATATGCATTATTTCATATTTAATGAAAACATTAATTAATGTTTGCATTATGTGAAATGCTTGGACGGAAAAAGCTGCGGATTGACATATCACTAATAAATCTTTAACTATATTATTTTTTTATTAAATATTACTATTTAATCAAGACAGAACGGGGAGATAGCTTTTTAGCTAAAATAGAAAGGTTTCCAAACTCGTCGGCTGAATATTAATGACCTATAATAGTTTTCAAACGAATTTAATTAAACGTTCTCTTGATTTCGCGCTAAAGGCAAAATAAATTTAATTAAACCGATGATTATTGACTATTTAATTGTCTCCTTTTTTAAAATTTAATTTATCTTGCAATAAAATATAAGCACCGGAATCGATATTTATTGGAAGAATATTTTCGATTCCTTAGAAAAACGTGATCTCGAGAGCGGAATTAATTAAAAATTCCGATGTGCGAGGATCAAGGACGAGAGAAGTTGAGTGTCGCTGATCAGCATCACAATGGTGGAAGAAATATGTTTGCGCTATACTGTAAAATATTTGTAGGGATACATATTGATGGAGATATTTTCATCTTTATCGAAGTTTGAAGACGCGCAGACACCTGAATCAACACACCAAATACAGTGCACTTTTCCGCGGAAGCAGCTCGTATTTTGTAAAGCCGCTGTTGATTCTGACAGATTTTCGTCCGAATGAGTCTGTCAAACAAAGCTCGAAACTTTCGGAGAAGATTCTATTTCGGCATCGCAAAACAAAGCCAACTTTCTTCGCTACAATAATAATAAGGCAATCTACCACCCTCGCGCATTTCAGTCGTAATTATGAAATTTACAAGGATAATTGTTTAAAGTTCTAATTAATGAGAATAAATATTAAGGAATAAATTAATATTCAACATGCGTATACTGAGAAAGCTGTATTAATTGTATTATTGCGACAGCAGCGTAAATTTTTAATTGATCTGTGTGACAAATTACTACTGATACTTTATTAATTCATTAATCTCTCTCCCTCTCTCTTAAATCTTTTTTTCATAAAATAATTGATAAACCTTTTTGTCGTTCCTTCAAGAAGAGGCTCAGCAGTATATCACGGATTATGATCTCGGTACTTCCGTAATAAAAGGGATATTCGTCTCCGTGGTCTCGGAGAGAGCCGGATCACAGTTTGGAAATTCTATAGCGATAACTCGATTTAAACTGAGAGTCAACTCCTGCCGTTGAAACATCGTGAACTGCGTCGGACTTGAAATTAATAGTAACTTCTGTGCTCGCGAGCGTATCTGCTTTGACTACATATACGAAGCAAAATCTCGGCGGTAATACAAAGGTAATTTCCATCCAGGACACTTTGACTCCAATCAAGTTTCTGCGCCGAGAGCGAGCTAGCTTTAAATTTCCCCATCTCAGATATCTAACTTTTACCAGGTCACTGAGCGTTTCTTGAAAAGTATTCGATCGTTATTTCATCTTGCATGTCCTTTATATTTACGTGCAAAATTTTGCAGTTTTCTTTCCTACTAATGGACGATTGACACTATACATCTCCGTATCAAATTTAATAATTAGTTATATTAATAACTTTTAGTTTGTTATGTTTTTAATTACAATCATCAAAAACTTTTTACTTTTCCAAAAAAATCTAATTTTTTATTGACTATTTATATGATTTTCTTTCTATGCTGAATGCAATTTTACATTAGCATCGTGTCACAAAGAAGCAATTATGAGATTATCTGACATGTTTCCACCTCTTCAATCTAAAATTACATTTTATTTAAGTCACACATAGAATTATCAAAATTGCAGGTAAATTTCAATTTTGCATCATATTTACATACATAAAGAAAGACGTCCGCGTACGTCCATAAGCTGCCTCGGATGCAAGATCGATGGCCCAATCGCGTATTTTTCCGGCTTGTATTTCCCCGGATTCTAATTCCGGTAACGCCGCCTGACATTTTTCACCTCGATGTTCTCGACTCAATCACATACATATACATATATACATACACACATACATACATGTGAATACCTGCCACGTACATGTTGGACAGCAGTAAATCGGTCGGGCGAGCTCACGGTTTGAGACCGAAATCGCGAGGCGTAGGTAGGATAACGCCGATGATGGTGATCCAAGGAGATTATTGGAATTTTGCCAAGTCCCCTTCAATATGGAGCCCCAATGTCAACCACCCACCTCCATCTTTTCACGTTTATCCGATCGTTCGACACACGATGTATAACTCACACAATGGGCAAAGGAAAAATATGTCAGCCTGGTAAAAAGCACAGGTGATAGGAATACCCGCCTTTGTCGTTGAAGGGCTTTCGTGTCCTCCGCGATGGAATTAAGTTTACATCCCGTATGAAGGAATGTGAACAGAATCTTTTGGGATAAAGCGGGACATCACTTTGACAATGTGTGTAACACGATGACAATTAAATTTCAGAATATGATATTTCAGATAGAATTTATTCCTTAAAATGAGACTCATTCTGTTCTTTGTCGTCTTTGAGTTGTTTTTCTTCTGTAGAAAAATATTGTAATGCATGCTATACGCTACAAGCGAAAATAATATTCCTTTGACGAACGGTATCTTCGGTGTTTTGAGAAACGTCTCGTCGCTACCGACCCTTAAAACGCCTATAAAGATTAACGACGAGAGAACTAAGAGAAGAAAGAGATCTCAATCTGCTTTGGGAACGAAGCAGCACAGATTGATCTGACAATTTCTGGGGCACGTCCATTCGAAGTGGCCGCCCTATAACGATCCGTCGCATGGATTAAGAGAGGAATTTAATTCTTGACAAACAACCCGCCAAACTTCCCCGAGTCCCTTTTTCCTACGTTCCCGGCGCCGGCGTCTTTCCACCCATCTCAAACTTTTTTCTTATACGCCGGGAGGAAGATTGGCATTCAAAGTCCAAAATGATAAATGAGCTACTCCGAATCGAAACGAACCACTTTATTACGCCTGTTTTACACGGTCCAGAATATCTTGTTGTTAGATTCCCGGAGTTTAGAACCGAGCTCGTCTCTCTGTCTCTTTGCTTCTCTTTCCTTCTATCGTAACCTTAATTTATCAATACGTCCGCGCGCTATCGAAAGCCGGATATTTCGTACCGGTGGTTTAAAGGGATCGCGGTACGATGGTTAATGTGCCGCATACAATGCCACCGATCCATTGTTTTAGCTAAGGAACATCCATTGCCTCGCTCCCGGTGCTTTTCACGGAGCTAGCTTAGTCTATGCCATAAAATGGAGAGTCTAGGTTCATGAGCGACTTTAAATTAAATTCACGTGAGGGCTGCTCCGTACATACCCTATCTACTAGCCGTATTCCCGATATCATTGTAATACCAACCGTTTATTCAAGAAAAGTTACATTTCCACGAAAAATACACACACACGAGAACCGTGTAACAAATTTTGATTAAATAAAATAAAATTGATAAGATTTTAATAAATATTCGAAGGCAAAATTTCCACATTTAAAATAAAAGATTTATATATTACATTACAATATATTTTATGTATAAGATGTTCAGAGAGAGAGAGAGGAACTATATTGCATATTTTTCAAATTTTATTCTACATTATCTTCTCGCAGCTAAAAGTTTTCCGATAATCGTTATTTAATCGTTATATAACATTCAGAAAACACAAAGTTTTGGTTGAAATATTAATTATGTAAAATATCTATCATGTCATGAATTTCACGAAGAATATTGATATAACACAAGAAATGTTCTCTTATTGGAGAAATAGATTAGGACAATTAATGATCTCTATGTAACACTCGCATTTATTCTTATTTTCGACGTTTGTCAACATCGCCGTAAATTAGCCAATTTTTCAACGAGATAATTCGAGCAGTAATAATATGAATAATTATTTCGCGTTATATTTATAATAGGATTTACTATTCAGAGAGATTTTACTGTGATCTCAAAAAATGAAGCAATTAATTTTAGAAGACAATTATTTGATCTTATTAACGACTCACGAACGCTGAACAATTCAAATAAAATTTTCCCTTATGTTTCAGAGACAGAGAAACAAAAAAACTAGATTTTAATGTGTGATGAATAAAATTTTAAATATATAATATTTATAGGAGGCAATATAATATTTCTTCTATAATACTCTTTTAAAATAAAATCATTTAAATAATATTTTTATATCTCTTTAAGAGTCAAGGTAAAACTTAGATTTCTTTAATTTTAAATGATTTCGTGTGTGCACACATATATAAAGCAATTTCTTAATATCTTTATATATGATATATATCATCTAACAGTATCCTAGCTATGGTCGATCTGAAATTATTCTCGGGATGATTTAAGAGACGGATTATCGATCCGTCTCTTGAAGCAGATTTTGGCGGCGTACGACGAGCATGCGCAGCAGCACGATCGATTTCTCAATCGATAACTCTCAGGTGCGTTCAACTTCTTTCGATTCCCGCCATATTCCTTGCGCGGCTTTTTCCAACTGGTGTCTTTGCGGTTACTGTATCGGTGATTCGTACGCGCGCAAGATCGGTCCTGATTCTTGCAGAATCCACCCCGCCCGGCGCGCGGACCACTTTTCCCCAGATGCGCCTCTCTCTCTCTCTCTCTCTCTCCCTCTCACGCGGGCTCTTCTCGCCGCGACCGGTGGCGCGCACCCGGTGGCGCCATCGAACGAGCGAGATATCCCGGCGCGTCGCACCCCGTTGCGACAACTACCTCGACGGTGCCCGCCTTCAGTCGTGGGTGCAGTGCGTGCGAGTGTGCAGCGGTCCCGAGAGCTGCTGCGAGAGACCGGCGTGGCTTGAAGTGCGCGCAAAGTTAGGGCCAGTGTTAACCCCGTCGTCGACGTCGACGTCGCGGGCATCGCTCGGGATTCCGCTCACGATCCTCGGGATCATCGGGCAGGGGTTTGTTCCAGGCGCCTCTGGAACGCTGCGCGGTTTCCGGTTGGCGTGATGCACATCTCTTCGAGGGATCTGCCGCGGATCTCCTCGCGTTCGCCACGCATTTGAGAAGAAACGGACGACGCGAATTTACGGAGGTTTGTATATACGGTTTGTGTTGTTCTCGCGATAATCTCTTTGCGTAATCGTAATACATGCAAATTTGGCATCAACCATAAAAATAATAAAAAGTAAATGTTTTCAGAATTGGTTGGGCAAATCTAGGTTTTTTGAATTTTAATGTAATTCCATAAAACCAACTGTACATAATATACTATATAATGTGTGTTATAATACTTGTCGTAATAATTGCAAAAAAATAAAACTTTTAAATGTTAATTTTTAACATGCGCTAATATGCATATATATTTTTGGCGCGTGAATTGAAATTTCCGTAATGGCGAAGGACGATTATTCCTTGAACGTGTTTCAAGAATGTTGTGAGATAAAATTAAATACTAATCGTGCAAAAACGTAATAATCGTAGAAAACCAGAGTTTCCAAATAGAGATTAGTACTCGGATCCGGGCGAATAACGCTTCAAACGCGCGTAAGATATAATCGCAAGTAATTAGAGCAAAGTTGCGAGAATGGTTCGCGCTTGCTTTCGGCAGCTGCCGCGCTAATCTCAATTCGCATAAACTTTAATCGCGGAAAGCAAGAGCGTGCAAGGTAATAGCGAGGAAGAGATTCGCCAACGATTCGCGATTTGACGCGGGACGTTTCCACGGGGGCGACGGCGACGCGTCGCGAGGTTGTCTCTAATCGCGAGGTGCGGTCGATTATCGAATGCATTTCGATGCACGAACACACGATGTGACGCGCGTCGTGTTCTTTTTACGATTTTTACTATTATTCCGCATCTCTCGCAACGACGGATTCAATATCCTGCGCCGTGCAAAATCCTTTCCATTGTGTCCGCGCGCCCTGAAACTTTCGCCCGGTATTCCAATTGGAATTGCGCCGCGATTTTTATCCAAGTTTAATAAACGCTCCAATTCTGAATATCATTCACAAAGAATTTTCAATATCCCTACGGAATTCTTTCGACTGTGCCATCACTTCGTATCGAAGATGAATAATTTAGTTTATAAAATTCTTTTGTCTCTTTTATTACTACAACAATATAGTTGTATTGTTTATTTGAAAATAAAGTAATAATTCATAATAATTATTTTAATAAATATGTGTTGTGTTTTTTAACTTTATTACATAATTTATAATAATTGTTTTAAATAGATTTGTAATGACATTTATAAATTCTCATCAGCGCAGTCATTTTTTATAGATACTCTTCCGGAAGGAGAAAGGTATCATTTATTATCTCGATTCGCAAATATACTTCGTGTTTAATGGTAATTGGAACAACGGATTATCAAAAGTCCCGAGAGCTTTGACGAGTAGATTCACGTTCGACAGATTCTCGTTTAAATATTCATCGTCGGAGCAAAGTACATTCTGGGTCTTTTCAATTATGCGTCCCAATCGAATGCCCCAATACGCGATATCGTGAAATCCTTTTCGGTCGAAAGAGCTAATGGATTGTCAAGAATAGAAACTTCACGTGACTTTGCGATCATTGCCTCGGTCGTCCGATGCGGACACACAATCGAATGTTTTCAATTCTATTTTCCGCGGACCGTGTTTCGTTCTCTCTGCCAAAACTGAAATAGTTTCGGAGATAGACGTTGTCGAAAACAACGTGCCATTTCCACACGATAACCTTTTAATCCGCGATCCACACATCGTGCGGAATACATATCGCTGTCGACCACCGACGTCGTATCATAATTATTGAATGTTAAGGGGAAAAACAGCGCGCCTGTGCACGTGAGAGATCGATAGTTATTATTGCTAACAAGGCAGCATAATTTAAATGTTCTATAAACTCTCTAATCTTAATAATAATTTAAAATTTTGATCAGACTAATTATTATATGTATTAAAACTAATACATAAAGGCACTAAACGCACGCATCGATCGTTCCATCATGTTGTTTTAATTTCGATTTTAATTTGCTTGGTATAGAATCGTTAATCTTACAGTATCCTGATATGGATTGCCAACCGAGTTCATTGTCTCCATTTCCATCGAATTCGCCCGCGCACTAGAAACGATCCTTATTCGGAGGCACTCGAGCGATCACAAAGAGCGCTATAAAGTAATTTAGTTTTCCAATAGAAAAATAGAAAGGAAGCAGTGTAAAACGAGGACGAAGCAGATTTTAAACTATGCTGAGCCGTGGAGATGTTTTAAATCTTTTTGGATTGTACAAATCTTTTTTACGAATGTCTTGTATTTAAAAATTTTGCCTTTTATGTGTATTTATTGCAAATAAATACATATATTATACTTATTTTTGCGACATATTTGCTACATATTTATATAATTCATATATTTGCAATTTCTTAATTTGGATTATAAATAAGGCATATAAAACGTCCAAATGCAATAGAGTCACAGAGAAAAGTTAAAAAAATTAATGTAGAGTATGGATAAAACAAAACTTGTGACACTGTGTTTGACGACACTCGATATTAATATTTATTTTTCGGATATATAATATTTCAAGTATATAAAGCATCGCTCGATATATATATTTTTTTATTTTTTTATTTATCTCTGTCTCAAAGATCCTTGAGTGACTTGCTTAAAAAATTTCCAGGTGTTAAGCGGTTTACTAAGCCCGTACTTACCACTGAGCCCATGCAAGGTAGAATCCTCTCTGATAATTATGAAACAATAAGTTAAAAAAATATTTTCATATATACAGCGGCGACAATGACAAAATGCCTCATTTTGAATCTACATTTAATGATTCTGGATGCAAAATATTAGCTGCGTTTAATCTTCATTTTCTCTTGTTTTCTACAAGAATTAATACATTCGCGAATACACATATTAATATATTATCTTAATCAAATATATTCTTATTTCAGAAATAGAAAATGTAAAAATCAGAATTGTACAAATATTGAAAGCAATGCTAAAGTTATACCATAAAAACAATTGGAGTTATTAAATTGAAATTGTTGATTTCAATGTGTGTTAAATAGTACCGAATTTAATATTGAATATATGTTCTTGGTACTTATGCCAACTTTGTCTGGGTCTAAGATAGATTTCAGGTTGATGATAACATCGTGAGATCGGCTCTCCTCGGTCTGCTAATCCGAAATAATATACCGTTGACCCAGTTAACGGGGCGCAACAGCAATTAGATATTCGCGCGGCGGCAGACGAAGTGGGACCAGGGCGCTGATCGATCCTTCCTCGTCGCCGGGGATATGTAGATACTCGCGTAAATTCCCGCCGTTCATATTCGCATCATCGTGATACATCAGCCGCGTACATCGAAATCGAGGTAAATTATACGAAATCATTCACTTGAGGGGGAGAGAAATCTGCCTGATTACAGCGTGACTCGAAACCTCGATATAATGATTCGATAATGTAATCTCATATTTATCGATGTTATAGGTAAAGTATAATACTATTTAACAGTTTGGAAAAGTGATAAACAGACTTTGGGGATTCGTGAGTAACTTTCTTTTTTCTTTTTCTAATTACACTTTTTTAATATATTTTCTTTTCCATTTGGAAATAATCCACGTATGTTTCGTGTAACATATATTAGTTATCAAATGTCTTTAAAGATATATATTTTTTTCATATCTTTCTATATATATTATATAATAATTTTATTATCGTATTAAGATACACTTGGCATCAATGAAACTGTTTATTCGAATTGAATTATATGCTCATATATATATTTCATTAAAAATAAATTAAAAAGATCTTCATAGTTTAAATAAGCTATATTTGGATCACCTATTGTAAAATATTAATTATACAGAAATGACATCTCGACTCAAAAGTTGCTTTCTTCAAATAGAAAAAGTTTCGCAGAAAGTACAAAAGCTTTTAAAGTATTGTTTCATTAGTGGTTCTACTTCTCGACTAAAACAGCTTTGTTGCATAGTAGGATCAGGTAGACGCATTTAAACTCGTACACATTTTTCTATCTCAGAATATATTAAAGTTTTGAAATATCATTGCGATGTAAAAAAATAAAAAAAAAATAATAATAATTTAAATTTCTCTTGCTTTCCTTTTTTCACTGGTTTTCGTATAATAATAAATTAATAATCACGAATATGTTCTCATCTGAATTGTCATCCGTAACAAATGTATTATTCATTATATTCGGATTATATTTTGCGGTAATGCAAGAAGCACATGCAAATTACTATGTTAAACAAATTATTGATTTATATATTGCACGTTAATATATTAAATTATATTATATTCGTGTATTATAATCGGAGACCTTTTAGAATTTGTTTCGAATTTAAAAAAATACGTAAGCTTAAAGTTTATCGTATTAAAAACATGTTATTGAAGAGACGTCAACAGTGATTGATCTGGAAATGATACTAAAATTAATATCTCGCGATATTTAATAGGTGAAAAAAAAAGCTTGAACTTGTATCGCTTATATCGTAGTTACATTTTCCGCAATGCGGAAATCTCAGGCATTCTCGAGTCTGCTTGACCGAAGCATCAATGCCCAAATATCAATTTCCCATTTGCGTGAATATCGACGATATAACGCTGCTATCAGTACCCGGATTCACGAAGGGCGAGGCAAAATCCTCGCGGATAATCCTAATGGTCGAAACGATGCAACGTTTTATCCGCTAATCCCACACTGGACGTCTACGACGATCGAATCAGATTGATGTCGTATACAATTTGGGATTTATATCTAGTCATGAAGGGGATTTTTATATTTGATCGCGAGTGAGAGGGAGGGGAAGCTTGGAGGGATGTGTGTGCGTTTAAAATAGGATTTTTAAACAAGTCAACAAAAATTGAATCAACTGAAATAAAAAATGATTTGAGATTTTCTTATTTATATATATGTATTTGTACATTTTGATTATATAAATAATAGAGATATTATTAAGTTAAACAATATCTCTTATATTTTCTCTTTTATTAGTAAAACCTGAGATTCTTAACATATTGCAATCTTTCCTTACTTCAATGCATTTGACATTATTTTAAAGTCTATAAAATATTATTATTTATATTAAATTATTATATACTTTTATATAATTATTATATATTATTTTAAATATTTATAGGAAAATAAATAAATAAAGGAAAATAATTTGCTTCAGTCAAAATATTACGATTGAAGGCGCGTGAAATATCAAGACAAAGTTTTTTTCAAATTTTTAAAACTTTCAAACGTAGACAGTTACACAATTCAGTATATATTGTGTATCATTAAAATGGAAAATCCAATCATACCCTTCAGCAATACCGTGTATTTACTACACGATATGGTCGTAAAACGCTAAAAGTCGTGATGTGCTGCTGGGTTCGCCGTAATTGTCGCAATTTTCTCTTGTGTAACGTTCTCCTCGTTTATGTAGTAACGAAAAAAGGGAATAAAAAGCCATTTTGTACGTATATAAAATTGATCGGCTAACTTGCTTAATCATAGCATTCGCGGTGGTAATTGTTGCGATGTAGATCGCGTAATAACGCGATTGGACCATTCTATTGGTTTGACTCCGTTAAATTCTGGTTGGAATGCCACTGCGCAAACACCTCGCGATTTGCGAAACATGCGATCAATCCGTTCCGTGACGGGGTACGATTTGCGGCCGCGAATTAGCGGCTTAATGCGCGTCGAAAATCAACGCCCAGACTATGCCAAGTGTCGGCTTGCCGTTAATCGGCCCGATTCCACGTGAGCACTTTAACATCGTTACGTATCACGAGATCGTTTGCCCTCATTTGTTTCCGATTTACTATTCGTATCGCAATAGTTTACGTTCAGAATTATGATTACGATAACATTTCCGTTTACATATCACATATATAAACTTTATTGTAATATTCATCACGAGAAAGATAAAGAGAGGCTCACAGAAAAACATTTTGCAGCTTTTGTTTAAAAGAAAAATAAGAAAATCAAAGATTCAAACAAATTCAAAATTTTCAGAAATAGCAGAGAACGTATGATTTTTATACCGGGCGATATTATTTTTGTATTCAACACGGCGAAATTTTTTGTGTGAGGGAGAGAAGCGGAGAAGAGAGAGAACTCGTGAACTCGTTACTTGTATCCATAAATCCGCCTGCGGACCAAGTTGTATCGTTCCCAGTCCATGGTGTGCTATATGGCGGGAATTGCACGTACCGTAACGAAGTGTAGTCTGGCAAGGTAGTAATACAGCAACCCAACATAGAGTTTCGTTCGCGCGTGTTAGTATACATGGCATACTAGAATTTATGCATTCTCTTCTGGCTAATTTCGGGGCGATTGCGTAGATATGTTTCAGCAAAAATTTGAGGAAAGGTCATCTTTTCTCAATTTTTTAATTAAATCTCGAGTGAAAATTTTCCTAAATAATTGTTATCTCTCTTTTTTTTTTAATTGAAATTCAATACAGGAATTAATTAGCAATCTAATTAAAAATACGAATCTAGGAATTTCATTACGAACGTTAATTAATCTATAAGATTAAAAGTTAATAATAGAATTGTATAAATTAATTAAACTGCATTTTATCTTAACACGAAACTCGGACATTAAATAATAAAGTAAATAAGAGAGGTTCCCAAGCGGTATTCCTTTGCGGGAATTGCGAGGAAGAGAAACAGCTACTAATTTCCATCTTCTCATTACTTATTGTTAGATACGTGGTTCGTGCGGCCAAGAGAAGGCACAAAGGGGCCAGGCGCGTCTTTTATAGTGGAGGATTCGGAGGATCATGATGTCCCCCATAATCGGGGAAACGCTACGCGTATGGTTCCTCTCGGCGCTGGTTGTTCACGGAGCTGTCGCCGGGAATCCGGACGCGAAGCGCCTTTACGACGATCTGCTATCCAATTATAACAAGCTCGTACGCCCTGTGGTGAACACTTCGGATGTGCTGCGCGTGTGCATCAAGCTTAAGCTCTCGCAACTCATCGATGTGGTAAGTGAATAAAATTTATTTGGAAAATTTTCAAAAATTCCGCAGAATTGCTCGGTCGTTTTTATGTTGATTTACTCTGTGAGAGAAGATAATCCGATATTTGATTAATATATTTAAATAAATTACCAATGAGATATTATATAAATTCAATATTGCAATGCTATCTATATATATCCTAAATGATTATAGAGAGAGTTGAGACGGTAATTTGCAGCTATCTATCGCCAATCAAAATCTTTCTATGGTTTGAAACGAGTCATCCACGATATATTGCTATAATGATATTTCAAAGGATTTTCATTAATATTAATATTAACGCGTAAAATATTTCGTATAAGAGTTGGCTGTAAATAATAATATAATCTGAGAAAAAAGATAATTCTTTATAAAAAACTGATTGTGAATCATAATTTTGAACGTTTTTCTATAAATTTTTTTTTCTCAAGAATTCCACTCTTTCATTTATTTTTGCCATATATGGCGTAACTTATTTTTTTCAATTATTTAATTTTCGCCAAGTTCGGTATAACTTATTTTTTTGATCGTAAATGAAGAAATCTATCTGTAAAATTTTCTTCCTTCCACTTATCGAGAATCACCGAATATCAGTTATCTGTTCCTAAGGGGGTACTTGTAGAAAATGTTTTCAAACTTTGCTAATATTACAAACTCTCTAAGACGATGATTAAACTTGCGTAAGTATAATATTAAAGGGCGCGTTATGGATATTATAAAATCAATAGCTTGTAAAGTCTACGGGCATTCTAATATGGCCAATTTGCGATTTAGGTTAAGATTGTAGTAAGATTTCCTCCGAAAATTACCGTAGAAATTGTCGCAAAGGAAAATGGCACGAAACTTAAGTAATTGGAATAATTACTTGGTCAAACTTTGACGGAATTTTAGTCAGTGTTGCCAGATTGTGCTTATTAAAGTTAGATTATGAAAGCATAAAAAAATTTTACTAGAAATATATTGGCTCCTTTTTATTTATCAGACGTAATATTTCCTCGAAAAGGTTCTTAAAAGCGCCATTTAATTCTATTAGAAGCGATACTATCATGTGATAATAATTAATTTGTAGTATTAATGAATCTACAGAGATATTTGTGATATTCAGGACTTTCTGCAGGCAGACGGAATATAACACTTGATGGCTTAAGGGATTATAACAAAGCATGTGAAATTAGCAAATATGCAGCGTAGCTTTGGATTAATACGTCTACATTTTTAATTAAGATGATAAATGCATGCGATAAACGGAGAGTAAGGAATTCTTATCTTTCTGTTCATTAACTCTGTCAAAAGCTCGTGTGTTTAATTCTTGCATCTGCCTAGCAACCAAGCACTTATGGCCGACAAATTATGCATAAATTAATGAAGAAAGTCATTAAGTCGCTTCTCGTTGAAACCCATTAAAACTCGTCGCCGATCTAGCATTGGTATTTAACTATTGCAAATTTTACTTATTAAGTTATATTTAGAATTCATTATATAAAAAAATAACGTATCTTTTCCGATAGAAAATTATATTTTACAGATGCAGATATTTTAATTTAACTAAACAGCCTTTTCATGACGCGTTTTTTGATAAAATATTATATTTGACGGATAAAAAAGAGCAAATATTTTTATTAACAATTTCTGGCATTTTTGTCTCACTTTCTCTTTAAAAAGCTGTTTTACGCGAAGCGTATAATAATCTTTTCTTCCAATTCAGTCATTTAGACGTGGAAATTCGATATGAAGTGTGATATTGCGAGATTTTTTCGCGTGGCATATGAGTAGTCACAGACCGACAAGTGTCGGACGATAAAACATCGCGCGGGACAACTGGAAATTTTCGTGGACGAGTCTAGCAGCAATAAAATTTATGAATATAGAGTCCACCAGTAATATACCCGACATAACACCGCACATTTCGGACTATGGAGAATAATATCGCGATTCAGTCTTTCGTATAAGAGCCAGAGTCATTCTTTGAAATTCCCGACCGCGATTAACATTCTCGGGAATGACCAAATACAGAATGCATACCGTTGTGGCCGGACATTTAGTATTATTATTTGACCGACAAAAATTCCAACAATATTTGAACCGTTAAAAAATTTTTATGCGCTTAGACTTCATGCGTCCACATATATTGTAATTTAATAGCGTGTGTTATAGGTAAAGATATATCAATTAATTTTTGAAAGTATGAAAGAAAGATTTTTAATGATAGTTTGCCTTTAATTTAAATAATAAATCCGGTCCTAGATATTTTTTACGTTAATTTTGATAGTAGTACAGAATATATATTTCTGTATTACATATTCAGACATTGTATATTTTTAATAGAAACAGTCAAATTATGGCTTGATGAAAAGTTGATTAAAACCATAGCAATCAGCGTAATAGCAGGAGCAGACAATTTGCTTCAGAGCGATGATAAGAGGTCGCTTGTTCGGCGAGAAATCTCGCCAGGAATTTATTCCAATGTAAAATCCAAATTACTTAAATCTCCACGGTCGATTTGCGTGACCTCGCGTAAATCTTCGCCCTCTTCCCGGAAGTGCAATTTTAGCGATACGCAAATGTGATTCTCGGAAAGGAATATTCCCGCGTCTCGCTTTTACGATCTGAGGTATGGAAAGCCACGTTATCTCAACCTAATGCCGGAACTCGATAAATCCACGCGCCAAGCTCTTCTCGGCTGACTTATCCGCACGACGAATAGATCCGGTAATTATGCACGCGTGTCACAGAAATTTCCACACAAATCATTCGGCCGTAGTTATATTTCCTGACCCGGAGAATCCGTACAGAGTGCGTAATTACGTAGTAATTTACGTGACCGCTAGCATTGTAAAAATGCGAGGCTTTCATGCTGTCGGCTGCGCGCGAAAACTGCGATGCGCGGCTTCTCTCGCGAGATTAAATTTTATAGAGGTTGCGCGGAACGCGCGTCTCATGTTAACGAAATTTTGCACACGTCACGTTGGAATTTAACCAACTCTATGTATTTGACATATTATAACTTGTAAATTGCAATATCCGACGCAAGTATCGGAAATCGCTTAAGCGATCCCCAAACTTGGAGCTCATTAGTTCTCTGTCCTTTTCAGAGCACGATTGTACGTCACGAAATATTTTTCTCTTTAATTATCGTTCTTTATAAGAAACAAGATATGAAGTAGAAATTAATGTTCACTTGAGAATGAACAGTTGATGTGAAGACTTGGTAATTGCTCCAAGAAGTATGTGACAGTGACAGATTATCGAACGTTGATAGTTCGTCTCTGCTTGTTTAAACAATCTGTCATTAATCTGGCAATGTGGACAATCAGTGTACACTAATAATAAAAAGAATATTGTTTTCTCAAGAAATTCAATTCGCCGTCCTTCTTGCCGAAAGGCAAGTAATGTAATGGCGGCCATCATCGTGAGGGCAACTTCGTGTACGGCATCGAATCGATACTTGGCCATACCTCGCGAGTCGCTGATGGATGCTTTCGCGCCACATTCGATCAGCGCCGCGGTTTCTTGCGTGATCAAAGCGCGATCACGCGAGTTCTCATTTTCCCGGGGATAGCCCGAGCTTTACGTGCGCCAAAGGCGCTTGGCCAATTTTCTCCGGGATTGCGGGCCTGCAATATCGCTAGCGAGGAAGGCTGTTGAAAGTTAACGAAAGATGAAAAAACGACGGCGGTTAAAAAGAAAAGAAAAATAAGCGCGGACGTCATTGCATCTGATTTTATCGGGCTTAAGAGGTATATCCATCAACACTGCCAGATCCACGAGCATTCCTGGCCAACATCTCGAAAATTCCTCGTGCTTTTATAGAGCCTCGTGAAAGTTTCATTCTGCGTCAGTCGCGTCTTCTCGCCGGGGGAGGAATTCTTCCATTTGTATCAAATGAAGCGGCGAGCGAGTGAAAGAGATGCATCGCATTCCTACAGATTCCTATTCTTCCTCGTGGATAATTTATCCTTTTTCGTCTGTTTATATAGTTTTATAACGAATTTGTGTCGCAAGAGAATTTTAATCTTAGATAAATCCGTGTAAAAAGAAAAAATCTATTTGTAATTTAGATTATATTATTTTAATTATCAACTTCTTATCTTCAAAATCAAGACGCATAAAGACAAAGTAGGATAATATATACAAGTAAGTATAAAAGGAAGCAATTTTTTATAATGATTTTTTAGAATTACGGAATATCCTTAGTTTTCTCGAACAATTGTCATTTGTTCGTCGTTTAAATGCTTTAAGAAGAAATGCTAAAAGAAGGTAAATAAGCCAGCCGTAAATAAGAATTTTTTATTTATGGATACACTATAGTGCGCGGCAGTTATCTGCGCGACGTGTCTCTCGCTTGTGCAATATTTGTCTTTGAAGTCACTACGGTAAGATGTAATAAGACAGAAGGTTTGCTCTCTCATGCATACCATTCTGATATTCCTGGAGCTGTCATTTGATATTAAAAATGCTTTTAAGGACTGATGCAAGTTGTCTCCCTAAAGTTTAGTAAGTTTTCGCGTCAGTTTTTTCGTCAATGCTCAATTGTAGTAAATAACAGAATTTAAAAAACGTATTCAAAATAAAATTTTGCACTACTCTTTCTATTCTTTTTTTTTTCTTCATTTTCTCTTTATTACTAATTTTCAATATTATAAATATTTAATATTTGAATATATTAAAAATTAAAACAAAAATTGAATCAACGAATTATTAAAAGTATTAAATATAATGAATATAAAATGATGTTCATAATTTTGCTCGTTCATATTTTAATATTAAAACTTGGTAATAAATGAGACAAGGGCTCTTCCAATATTCCAAAATTTAATAAATCAAATATTTCTAATTTATTTAGACTCCTAGCGTTCTCTCTCTTTCTCTCTTTCTCTTTCTCTCTGGAAATCTAATAATTCAAAGATATAATTATACAAAAATTTAATACGTCGAACAAACTTGAAGTTTAATAATAATTAATTATTTGTGTTTATATTTAATAA